TCCCTAGGCACTGATGGTGCAGTGTCTAATGCCTGCCTCTGTGGAGGCGGCTCGGCCAGTGGCACAGGCAGTGCAATGTGTAATGGTGACCTCTGAGCAGCGGCTGCCTTGGATGCAGCGGCTTGGCTGCCTCGGAGGAGGAGGCGGCAGCTCTGGCTGCCTTGGAGGAGGAGGCGGTGGCTCTGGCTGCCTCGGAGGAGGAGGAAGCCGCGGCTCGGCTGCCTTGGAGGAGGCGGCCGCTCGCCCCAGGCACTGGCGGTACGATGTGGAATGGCTGTCGGTCGGGTGGTAGCAGCGGTGGCAGCCACCACAGTAGCTGCCCAGACTTTGGTGATGCCTCAGCAAAGTCTCGCCAGTTCTAGTCTTAAATACTGATTTCTGAAACAAATTTTCAGGCTTCTTTAGGAAAGACAAAGTGAAAGTTTTTAGAGCAGAGATGCTAAGTTGTACCTTATTTTCAAACTTTGATGATATTGGTAGTGGCTGCTTAGAGCCATGTGCTAATTAAAAAAGAGTGTGTGAAGCCGGGCTTGGTGACTCAGCCGGTAATCCCGTGCTTTGGGAGGCTGAGGTGAGTGGATTGCTTGAGCCCACGGGTTCGAGACCCGCCTGGGCAACTTGGCGAGACCTCATCTCTACAATAAATCAAAAATTAGCTGGGCGTGGTAGCGTCCTCCTATAATTCAAGCTACTTGGAAGGCTGAGGTGGAAGGATCACCGGAGCCCAGCAGGTCAAGGCTGCGGTGGCTGGGAGCAGCCACTGCATTCCAGTCTGGGCGACAGAGTGAGACGCCAACTCAAAAAAAAAGAAAAAGAATATATGTGGTTCCTGCTATATATTTATCATCCTTGTTCTAGGGCAGTGATTTTTAAGTCTCCTCAGACTAACAGTTTCATCATCCAAGGAATTTGTTAAAAATGAAAATGCTTGGGCCACCTAGGGTCTGAGTCACAAATTCTGGGATGGACCCATAGCTTGGTCTGACAAGCCTTCTAGATGATTCTCATGGACACAAAAGATCAAGAACTAGTGTTCTAGGGAATCAAGACTACAAAGACAAAAATTAAAATCATTTTTTTGTGGGTAGAGACAGGCTTTCACTATATTACGCAGTCTGGTCACAAACTCCTGGTCTCAAGTGGTCCTCGCCCCTTATCCTCCCATAATGCTGTGATTACAGAGCAAAAATCTCAGCTAACATCAGTTTTGATCAACCAAATATCAATTTTGTTGTTACTTCCTTCTTTCATTTTTTAATCACACTGTGAATATTTGTTCTTTTCTATTTCTCTTTTCATTTTATTTTGACTGGATACTTTGAATGCTTTTCAGTTTATAATGTTATCAAGTACTTAATCTTTTCTGAATGGTGAAGTTTGCAGGAGTTGGGGGCATTTTAACAATGTTCTAACTTTTACATTCTGCTTCTTTTTATATTTTAATAAAAAAGACATCAATTCAAGGAAAGTTTGAACACAAATGACTTTTGCGTTGGCAGAATTTATTTTTGCAAAGAATTGCACAGATGTTAGACTTAAAAATATAGTTTATTTAAAAATAAATTAGAATGAGAAAGAGAAGGGAGAGAGAAGATTCACCTCCCCAGATGGTAGAGGAGGCCAAAGCCAGGAAGCATGGTGACAGCCATAGCTCAAAGAGCACATGGCTGCACCAGTCTAGCAAGGCAATGGCCTTTTTTTTTTTGAGTCAGTGTCTTTCTTTGTCACCCTGGCTAGAGTGCAGTGGCACACTCATGGCTACTCCAGCCTTTACCTTCTGGTCTTAGGGGATCCTTCCGCCTCAACCTTCCAAGTAGCTGGAACTACAGGTGCTTGCCACCATGCCTGGCTAATTTTTTTGATTTAATGTAGCCACAAAGTCTTACCAAGTTGCCTAGGCTGGTCTCAAACCCCTGGGATCAGGCAGTCCTCTTGCCTCCACTTCCCAAAGTGCTGGAGTTACACGCATGAGCTACCAGGCTCATCCTGCATTGACAATTTTTTTTTTTTTATGAGTTGGAGTCTCACTCCATCGCCCAGGCTGAAGTGCAGTGGCACGCTCACTGTCACCCTAGTGTCTACCTGCTGGGCTCAAGTGATCCTTCCGTCTCAACCTTCCATGTAGCCAGAATTACAGGCATGTTCTACCACACCCAGCTAATTTATTGTAGAGATGAGGTCTCTCCAGGTTGCCCAGGCTTTTCTCAAACCTGTGGGCTCAGGCAATCCCCTCACCTCGGCCTCCCAAAGTGCTGGGATTACAGGCTTGAGCCACTGTGCCCAACCAACAGGATTTAAAGATATGTTATCATTAACCAGATCTTTGCTACTGAACTCCAATTAAAATAATATAGCGCATATAGAAAAATAAAATAATATAGCAAATACAGAGAAACTGAAGATATTTATTAAGATAACCTTCTCAATAATTTTAGCCAAAGTTGTTTAATAAAAGAAAAGTGGGAGCCGGGCTCTGTGGCTCAGCCTGTAATCCCATGCCTTTAGGAGGCTGAGGTGAATGGATTGCCTGAGCCTGTGGGCTTGAGACCCGCCTGGGCAACTTGGTGAGACCTTATCTCTACAATAAAATCAAAAATTAGCCGGGCGTGGTAGCACATGCCTGTAGTTCCAGCTACTTGGAAGGGTGAGGCAAAAAGATTGCCGGAGACCAGCAGGTCGAGGCTGCGGTGGCCAGGAGCGGCCACTGCATCCTGTCTGGGCGACAGAATGAGACTCCAACTCAAAAACAAGAAAAAGAAAAGTGGAGAAAGAAAAGATTTGTTTTGTTTGGCAAAGGAATGGCATGTGGTGAAAGCTTTTTTTTCCTAGTCTTAATAATGTTTTAATCAATACTATTGGGAAGGATAAGCTTTTTTTCCCACTGTTCAGAGAAACCTATGGTTGATGTTTATTGTGTCCTTTTCTTTTTTTTTTTTTTTTTTTTTTGAGTTGGAGTCTCACTCTGTCTCCCAGACTGGAGTGCAGTGGCCGCTCCCGGCCACCGCAGTCTTGACCTGCTGGGCTCCGGCGATCCTTCCACCTCAGCCTTCCAAGTAGCCGGAATTACAGGCATGTGCTACCACGCCCGGCTGATTTTTTTATTTATTGTAGAGATGAGGTCTCGCTGCCCAGGCGGGTCTCGAACCCGCGGGCTCAGGCAATCCACTCACCTCAGCCTCCCAAAGGCGCGGGATTACAGACTGAGCCACTGAGCCCGGCTTTGTGTCCTTTTCTAATATTGTTATATTCCCAGGAGCTTTAAAAAAAATCTTACTATAATTATCATGAAATATGATAATTGTTCTATATTATAATTCATAGTTTATGTTTACTAGTTTATGACAAGGGTCAGCAAACTTTGCGTCACCCACCTATTTTGTAAATAAATTTGATTGCATCGTGGCCACACCTATTTGTTTGTGTATATAGCTGCTTTTGCCCTACAGTGGTAGAGTTCAGAAGTTGCAACAGAGACCCTATGGCTGACAAAGCCTAAAATTTACTCCCTAGTCCTTTAAGAAAATGTTTGTCGACCAGTATTTTAGGAAACTAATAGTATATGATTACTTTATGCCTAAACAGATGTTAAGTTCCACATAGGAATCTTCTCAGCATCAGCTATGTCAAATACATCTCAATTATAAAAGGACCCTGTAAAGTGACTATTTAGTATTTAGGTAAGGATAGGCCATTCATATTTATACTGAAAAATATGAAAGAGAAGAAGCTAGTGAATGTTGAAAAATTTTTTAAAGTGATTTTACATTACATTGAGATTTATAATATAGAAAACTAGTAAAGAGTTGTGAAATGACTAGAATTCAGGTTTTTAAATTCTGCCTTTGTCTAGTTTTTTCAATTAGGCACAGGATGCTAAGATGTTTTTGGTCAAGGGTCCACTCCTATAAAATGCAGGAATTGAAGCCAATAATATTAAAATTCCCCTCCAGCTCTAAGTTTTGATGGGTTTTTTTTTTTATTATATATTTTCTTGGTGCCATTAAAAGCCTCTTGCTATTCTTGTTGACTCTAAATAAATATAATTCATTTTTAACAGTCATCCATACAAGAGGGCTATAAAGCTTTAGTACATAAAACAGAAGAATTTAACCAAATTTGACATTTTGTTAATGGACTGTTTTCCTTTTAGGACATCTGAGTTCTTCGTCCATATATCCTGCATGCAGTGCTCCTTATTTATTGGCAACTTCATGCTCGGATGAGAAAGTAAGATTCTGGAGATGCAGAGTAACAGATGGAGAATCTGCCACATCAAATAATGGAGAAATGAATCTTGCATATATTTGGGAAGAATGGCCATTACTTATTGAAGATGGACTTCAGAACAATAGTATTATATCTGTACCTGGTAGGCCTATAGAAGTTAGCTGTGCACATACAAATCGTTTAGCAATAGCTTATAAGCAGCCTGCATCTAACAGTAGATCTTCTCAGGACTTTGTGATGCATGTTAGTATTTTCGAATGTGAGTCTACAGGAGGTTCTTGTTGGGTCCTTGAACAGACAATTCATTTAGATGAGTTAAGCACAGTGTTGGACTCTGGCATTAGTATTGATAGTAATTTAGTGGCCTATAATAAACAAGAGATGTATTTATCCAGTAAAGAAAGTATTACATCAAACACGAAGCATTTAGTTCACCTAGATTGGATGTCTAGAGAAGATGGCTCTCATATCTTAACTGTAGGAATTGGATCAAAACTTTTTATGTATGGACCCCTGGCTGGCAAGATACAAGAACAAACCGGTAAGGAAAGCCTGGTATTTCCTCTCTGGGAGAGTACTAAATTTGTGCCTCTTTCTAAATTTGTACTATTACGAAGTATGGACTTGGTTTCTTCTGTAGAAGGCTCCCCACCTTTTCCTGTTTCTTTATCATGGGTTCGGGATGGCATCCTTGTGGTAGGAATGGATTGTGAAATGCATGTATATTCCCAGTGGCAACCATCTTCTAAACAAGAACCTGTTATAACAGATTCATACAATGGGAGCACTCCATCTATAATAAGTTTAATAAAACAGAGTAATTCATCAAGTTCTGGATTACATCCTCCAAAGAAAACACTGACTCGATCTATGACTAGTCTTGCACAGAAAATCTGTGGAAAGAAAACTGCATTCGATCCTTCAGTGGATATGGAAGATTCTGGTCTTTTTGAGGCAGCTCATGCCCTTTCTCCAACTTTACCTCAATACCATCCCTTGCAGCTTTTGGAGCTCATGGATCTTGGCAAAGTTCGGAGAGCCAAGGCCATCTTGTCACATCTTGTCAAATGCATTGCTGGGGAGGTTGTAGCTCTGAACGAAGCTGAATCCAATCATGAACGCCGCCTTAGGTCTCTCACCATCAGTGCTAGTGGAAGCACTACCAGAGACCCCCAGGCATTCAACAAGGCTGAAAATACAGATTACACAGAAATAGATTCTGTCCCTCCACTTCCTTTGTATGCCCTACTTGCTGCAGATGATGATAGCTGTTACTCATCTTTGGAAAAATCTAGTAATGAGAGTACCTTAAATAAATCAAACCAAATGTCAAAAGAAAGTTATGATGAGCTTTTTCAGGCCTCAGCTCAAATAACCGATATTCATGTGTTAGAGACAGATGAAGAAAATACAAAGCCCAGAGTTATTGACCTTTCACAATATAGTCCAACTTACTTTGGTCCTGAGCATGCTCAGGTTCTTTCTGGCCACTTACTTCATTCTAGTTTACCAGGACTCAGCCGGATGGAACAGATGTCTTTGATGGCTTTAGCAGATACAATTGCAACTACAAGCACTGATATTGGAGAAAGCAGAGACAGAAGCCAAGGTAAAACTAAATGCCATACTGATGATAACATTTTTACTTATTTTCACAGAAAATAATCTTAAATAATGTTTTATTGAAATGATGCCATGAAATTTTTTTGAAACATCTTTGCTATCTTCATAGCAATTTTAATTTTAATATATACTACTTATCCCATAAATCATAGTAGTATGAGGAAGTACACAAAGACTTACACCATTTTTACTAATTGCTTCATAATGTAAAAGATCCAATTGAATCTTTTCAAGTTTAACAAAAGTTAAAAGATTCTTGTTAAACAATTATTTTAGGTACCTGAAAATAAAAAATGGTTTTTGGTTTTTTTCTCTCATTTTGTAATAACCCACTATTAACAATTATATTTGTTAACATATTAGTTTTTTTTAATTAGCATATACTCCTACCCATAGTAACAATTACAAGCATAATATAAATAGGTCTTTTCCTTACCTGGAGAGTATTGTTTTAAAAATCTCCTGAGTATGAACAAATTTCCATCAGATCTCAAGTACAGTCTGAAATTAACAAATCCAGCCTTGTGGACCACATACAGGTCAATTTCCCTTTGGACTAAGCTTGAAAGGAAAATATGGGGTAAATTTAAGATAATATTAAGATAATTACAGTTTTTTAATTTAAGAAAAAATAAGTCACTCATGAATCTTGACATTTTACTTTAAGAGGTATTACTAGTAGATACTATTTTTTATATGAATTAGTTATAGATATTTTATGTTTAAATTGTTACTTCAAAGAAAACAATCAGGCCCTCCCACCATGTAACTGTTTCTACCAGTGTTAACGGCACATTATTGGGATGGATATATGATTTGAATCAATGTGGAAAATATTAGTTAATATATGCAACAGAGATTAAACTATTTAAAAATTCAGTTGTTTTAATTTTAATAAGATTCAGATCAGGAGAGGTCAGATTACAAAGAATGCTGTAGACACTGAGTCATTTCGTTCTTTATTATTTTTTAAATTATTTATGCTTTTTTTGTAATATAAAGTTGTATAAAAAAAGAAATGTTAGAAAATGTTTTAGACTGATAACTTTTTTGTCAGTTTTGTACCTGTATCTGGTGTTGTGACATGCTGATTGTCACAGCTGTTATTATTATTGTGTTTTGCTTACAAAATGTGTTTTTACAAATAAAAATAAATACCTTTCTCCTTCTGGTTCTAGGTGGAGAAACTCTTGATGAATGTGGATTAAAATTTCTTTTGGCTGTTCGACTCCATACCTTTCTTACAACTTCCCTTCCAGCCTATCGAGCTCAACTCCTTCACCAAGGTGACTTTCATAGTAGTCTATTAAAGAGAAGTAAGGCGAGTAGGAAAAGAGAGTCTTGTGAACTTTTAAACTTGCTTTTGCCCAGACACAATAATAATAACAAATTTTACACTTTATAAGTTTCTTTTATTTGTTAAAATATTTATTTTCTCTTAATATTCTTTGCTTAAAAACATAGGAATTTTTAATAGTGGTTGAAAAGAGTTAATGAAGAAATGGATATTGGGCAATTAGATAGTATGTGTTATGGTTTTTTTTTTTCCCCTCAAGAGTTTATTTATTTATTTATTTAAAAGATATGGGGTACAATTCAGGATTAGGTATACAGTGGTCATCATACAGGCAAAGTTTGGGTCTCCCTTTGGTCCCAACTTTGCCTGGTTTGAGATCAGATACCCTTATTGATGTTGTGCCCCCATTCCAACCCCAACAGTATCCTACTACTGCCTATGTTATGTTTTTAAATGCATTACATATTCAAGACAAGTTAGTATTGTTGTATTTTCTTTAATTTTGTCTTTAAATTGTCTTTTTTTCCTCCTTTTTGACATGTATCTAAGTTCAACTTTCCCCCCAATAACATTTTTGTTATGAAAATAAAACCTATTCAAATTTTAAGTGTTTCACAAAGAAGGAGTTCATAACATACAAAGTGTAAATCTACTCACTCTTCTAATAACTGTGGATAAAGTTAATGTGTATTTCAGGTATTTGTTTAATAACTGTATTTCAGATATTCTTATATAGTGTTAGGACTTTCACCATTAAACAGAAATTCACTTCAGTTAATTTAAACAAAACAGAATATTTATTGACTTAATGCTCAGGAAGTTCAAGAAATAGAGCTGACTTCCAACATTATTGGATCTACATGTTTAAACCATGTTTTTGGGACTCTACAGTAGTCTCTGCTCTTGGGTGTCTTTTACTGTCACTTTTCTTCTCTCTTTGTATCTCTCCATGCTCTTTCTTTCTTCTTTTTATATGTAACTTTGAAAAGTAAAACTTGAAGTTCTAAATCACATTATTTCAAAAATTTTATTATAATTTGACAAATTTTAATTTTATATATTTATGGGCCACAGTGTAATGTTATGATATATGTATACAAAGTGGAATGATTAAATAATGCCAAATAATACATTCATCACCTCAAATCTGTATCCTCTTTTGTAGTAAGAACATTTGAAATTTACTCTCTTAGCAATATTAAAATATGCACTATTATTAACTGTAGTCATCTTGCTGTGTAGTGGATCTGAAAAACTTTAATTTGTCCTGACTGAAACTTTGTACTCTTTGGCCAACATTTCCTACTCCTTCATCCCCCAGCCTCAGGTTAACTACTATTCTACTCTCAGCTTCTGTGGTCTCAGTTGTATTTGATTCCACATGTAAGTGAGATTTTGCAGTATTTGTCTTTCTGTCCCTGGCCTGTTTTCATGTATTATAATATCCTCCAGGTTCATCCATGTTGTTGCAAATAACAGGATTTCCTTTTTTTTTAGGCTAAAAACTACTTCAGTGTTTATTCAAGCATACTTCACTTTATTGTGTTTCATTTTGTTGTGTTTCGCAAATAGTGCATTTTTTTACAAATTGAAAGTTGTGGCAATGCTATGTTGCGTAAGTCTGTCAGCATGCCATTTTCAACAGCATGTCACTCATGTCTCTGTGTCACATTTTGTAATTCTTGAAATATTTCCAACTTTTTCATTATTGGTATATCTGTTATGGTGATCATTGATCTTTGATGTTACCAATTGTTTTGAGGTGCTATGATCCACACCTATATAAATCAGCAAAATGTGTGTATTTTGTCTGCAGCACTGACCAGCCTTTCCCCATATCTCTTCTTCTTCTTAGACCTCCTTAGTCATTGAGACACAACAGTATTGAAATTAGGCTATTTAATAACCCTATAATGCCTCCTAAGTATTCAAGTGAAAGGAAGGGTCACACATTTCTCACTTTAAATCAAACGCTAGAAATGATTAAGCTTAGCGAGGAAGACATGGTGAAACCCGAGATAGGCTTAAAACTAAGTCTGTTGCACCAAACATCTAGCTAAGTTGTGAATACAAAGGAAAGTTCTTTTTTTGTTTCTTTTTTCTTCTTCTCTTTCTTTTTTTCAGGGTCTCTGTTGCCCAGGCTGAACTGCAGTGCCACCATCATAGCTCACCTTAGTCTCAACCTCTTGGGCTCAAGCAATCCTTCCACCTCAACCTCCCAGGAAGCCAGGACTATAGGCATGTGCTACCACACCTGGCTAATTATTTTATTTTCATTTTTGAAGAGACAGGATATCACTGTGTTGCCTAGGGTGGTCTTAAACTCTTGGGCTCAAGCGATCCTCCTACTTTGGCCTCCCAACGTGCTGAGATTACAGACATGAGCCGCCATGTCCTGCCTGAAAGGAAAGTTTTTAAATGAAATTCAAAGATCTTCTCCATTGAACACATGATAAGAAGAGTGAAATAGCCTTATTGCTTATTTGGAAAACGTGTTAGTAGCCTGAATAAAATATCAAACCAACCATCACATTCCCTTAAGCTAAAGCGTAATCTAGAGCAAGGCCCTAACTTTTTAGTTCCATGGTGACTGAGAGAAGTGAGGAAGCAGCAGCAGTAAAGTGTGAAGGTAGTAGAGGTTGGTTCATGAGGTTAATGTAAGAAAGGTTTCCTAGTTGTAAATCTAAAACAGTCTAGGTGAATCCTCATTTTCAAAACTGCATACTGAAGACATGAAAACTAGTTACAAGTAATTTCTTTTTTAAAAAATGCATGTTCTGACTAAAGAATTAGTCTGCTGTTCAATTAAAGGAATTTCAATTGCTTTTAAAACTTTTTTTATAGAAAGAAGTGTGTTGTGTGTTTCTTAAATAAACAGCATTATTGTATGTATGTCCAATAAAAAAAAAATTAGCAAAATTAAATGAAGACCTACTAATGCTTATGCCAAGCAGGAATTTGCCTGCTTCCTGTGGTCTTATATTAATTCAAAATAATATTCAATATTCTGAAACTAAGTTTCTGTTACTTGAGCTCTAGCAAAATATAAGACTCTGTAGCATCAACTGGTATAATGTCTCTTTCCTTTCCAAATCCAGATTGATTATACTGATAGCCTCCATGCTGGAAGTACTGTTCAAATTGACCACCTTGGTGATAATTCTGGCTCCCCTTTCCTTCCCACCCTTCTCCCTGTCCTGCACAACCACCTTAACCTCTTCGACCACCTTTTCCTCACAACTACTGTCTCTGTCACCATGATGCCTACCATCTTGGTGTCTGTTGTCCTACTGGTATCTCCCACCCTGCTGTTTATTTCCTGCATATGAAGATGTCTAGAAGCCACCATAACCTCCACATTGATAGCTACCACTGTGGCCTCCATGATAGCCACCACCTCCTCAACTCCCTCTGTCTATCCAGACTCTTTTGATGCTTATTTTCTCTTCCTCCCCGTCGGCCACTGTGGTCATAGCTACCATGTTCTCCTCTCCCTTCTCCTTGTCCACGGCCTCCTTGTCTTCCATATAAGGAATGTTTATAGCCACCTCTTTCTTCTTCTTGGCCTCCTGCTTCCTGCTGGGAGCCATCTTACCTTTTTTGCTGTGGTGGCATCATTTGGGGTAGAAATTTGATTTCATTGAATCTACCACCTTTCTCAGGCATCCAGCCCATCAACATCTTATTGATGGCACAGGCAGTCATTTTTTTCTTAAAAAGCTGCTGCTTGTCCTTAAAATCTTTGTCCACTCCTGTCTTGCATTCAAAAACTAGGCAACAGAAATAGTACTTTTAGGAGATAAGACTGAACATTTTAGCTGGTAGAATTTGGCTAATTTTTCTGTTTGACTCCTCTATCGGACCAAAGGACTGCATCATGACACCCAAATGTTTTAATAGCAGCTTTCTCTGGACTTCATATTCATTGGCTATAGCCTGATTGAGTGCTTTTATCTTTTTCCTGTGGGCTGGTCCCATTGACTTTTGTAATAAAGACTTTTCCATATGATTAAAAAATTTTTTTTCAATCCTGCTGAAGAATTGAAACATATTATATTCCAATATAATATAATTTATATATATCATATATTACATATATATAACTTATAACATATATATAAAACATATATATATTATAGTTATATTGTTTGGAGGTTTGGACATTCCTAGAGCAATATGTATGCCTTTCAACTCTTAAAAGATCTTATTACTTCTTCCTTCTTGAGCCTTGTGTGTCTGTGTGTGTGTGTGTGTGTGTGTGTGTGAGAGAGAGAGAGAGAGAGAGAGAGAGAGAGAGAAGCATTTATTCAGAGCATTCTGGCAGCTTCTAGTTCTGAGATGAGGTATATAAACAAAAGGTGGCAGTCCTTAATGAGAAGGTGCTTGGTCACATCCCTAGATGTTAGTGAAAGATACAGGCAGTTCATTTCTCTAGTAGACCACTCATCTCAAGCTGGAATTCTTCAGCTTCACTTGGACTGTTAGTTGCTTGAACAACTTGAACTCTAGTTTAGAACTTGAACTCTAGTTTAGAAAACACCCTCAATTCAGACACTCAATTGGTAAACTCAGGGGAGCTAACTTCAGCAGAGGCTGCCTGAGATAGCGCCGTCTTCTAACAACGGGCCCTGTAACCTAGATCTTCCATTGACTCCACGATGTCAGTTTCCATGCTACAGCAGTCTGCACATTGTATTCTTTAGATTTCAATTTGATTTTTATTGTTTCTATTTTCTCATCAAACTTCTCATTTTGTATGTTGTTTTCTAGATTTCATTTAATTTCCATCCATATACTCCTGTAGTTCACTGAACTTTGTAAGTAGCTTATTCAGAATTTCCTGTTAGCCACTTCATAGGTCTCTGTTTCCTTAAAGTTCATTATTGGAGATTTATTAGGTTCTTTTGGAGGTGTCATATTTCTCTGGTTCTTCACAATTCCTGAGTACTGCTTTGATGTCTGCATATTTGAGGAAACAGCTATATCTTTGGTCTTTTAAAGTGTTTTTTGGCCAGGATGGACCTTCACTATTAGTCTAGCCTCTGATTATGCACAGGCCAGCTGGGAAACAGAGCTTGCTGGTGGATTCTCTAGGTGACTGGGCCACTGCCTTTGTTATGAGATTAGGTGATGCTGCTAGCTGGGTTTTGCTGTTCTATGAGACTTCTGGCTGGGCTCTGCAATCAGGACTGATGGCTGGGCACTGTGATAACTCTTGTCAGGCTAGGTCACAGGATATATTTTCCAGCCAGGCACTATAATTATTTTGGTTCTTATGGTGGAGAGGATTGCAGGCTGGCTCTGTTGTTAGATGGAATTCCTTTTCTGGATGGATCAGTCCAGAGGCTATGCTATGTAGAAATGCATGGTTGAGGCTTGCCTCCCTGCCTGGGTGGAACCTTGGTGTGAAGTGGGGCTGGGCCAAGCTTAATTTGGCTTGCCTAACTGGGCAGGCGTATCCCCTAAGGTATGCAGAAATGTACAGTGTCAGGCTTTGAGCCAAGGTACTGTTGTGGACTTGGTCCAGTCTAGCCCCTGTGCTTGACTGAAATTTGTTTAGGTAGACATCTGCCAGTCTGAGCGGAGCCTTGGGATGGGCTCTGAGTCCCATCTAGGAACTTAAACCTGGTTGAATTTTCCACCATGCTACTGGAAACAACCAACATAGCTTTTCAGGTGGGCTATGCTATTGGCTATACCTCTAATAGAGCATGACCTACTGGCAGGAACACAGAGCTACCACCAAGATCTGTGAGTAGCCATGTCTTTGCCCCAGTCCTCCCTATGAGGTAAAACCAATCTGGGCTTACTGGGAAACATCTTAAAATACTAGGGAAGCTGGATGCCTGACCCCAGCTTTCTTGTCCCACTGTAGAAGCCAGGGATCCCGGGAATCCTTTCTGTGGTACTGTGCTGTCTTGGGGAGGGAGAGGTGATGTGCTCAAAGTGAGACCATTACTCTTATCCTTCTAATGCAGTTTTTATTTAGTTTGGTGGTACACGAAGGTGTCTCAGGCTTATTCCCAAGTTTTGGGGTTTTTACAAAACTTTTATAAAGTTTTGGGGCTTTTACAAAATATCGCGTAAAATGGCGTTTTCTTGTCTGGATATTCCATTTTATTGGAGGGATGAGTGTGCATTCTTAGTCTTTTCAGGCTGCTAATTTACAAGTAAGAAAAATTTATTTTTCACATTTCTGGAGCCTGGGAAGTCCAAGATTAAAGCACTGCCAGATTCATTGTCTAGTGAGGGCATGATCTCTGTTCCATAGATGGCACCTTGTTGCTGCATCCTCACATAGCAAAAGAGGCAAAAAGGGCTAGCTAGTTCTCTTGAGTCCTTTTATAAGTGCAGTAATCCCATTCATGAGGGCATTGCCTACTTATCTCCTTAAAGTCCCACCTGTTAATACTATTGAATTGGAGATTTAAATTTCAGCATGAATTATGGAAGGACACAAATATGTAAACCATAGCAGGGAGTGAAACCTGGGACCGCTGTTTCACTGAGATCTAAATCAAATTCTTTAATTATTTATGAAAATGTATTGAAGTTGCTGGACAGATAACAGAAATTAAAAATAATTTAGCCAGGTGTGGTAGCTCATGCTTGTAATCTAGCACTTTGGGGGGTTGAGGCAAAAGAATTGCTTGAGCCCAGGAGTTCAAGACTAACCTGGGCAGTATAATGAGACCCCATCTCTCAAAAAAATTAAAAATTTAGCCATAAGTGGTGACATATGCTTATAGTCCCAGCTACTCAGGAGGCTGAGGAGGGAGGATTGTTTGAACCCAGGAGTTCGAGGCTACAATTAGCTGTGATCATGCCACTGTACTCCAGTCTGAGCAGCAGAGTGAGACCCCAATCAAAAAAAAAAGTAAAAGTAATTTGGAATAACGGTTCATTCACAGCATTAGTTTTTTTTTAACTTCCAATTGCTTTTTTTTCAAAGTCTTCAGTGTAATAAGCTTTTCAGATTACTTGTCAAAGAAAGTATTCTTTAGCATAGGTTAAAAGTTTGAGATCATATATTTCAAAGACACATCTTGTAATTAATCATTTGCTTCACCCAGTAATACTAAACAAAATATATTATGAAGAGACAAAACAGAAGCTTGAGCAATAGATACCACATATGCAGCCCACTAGGTTGAGAGAATTGCTGATATAAGTAATGTTACATAAGTATAAAAATAGCTTACTAATATCATATGGAGTAATAATTATTATATGCCAGGACCTATTCTACATTGTATAACTGTATTATTTTGTTCTTAAAACTATGTAATAAGGTATTTGTATAATTATTTGCATTTTATATGCAAACAAATTGTGATATTAAGAGAAAAGGAACTTGCCCAGGATTATGTACTTAATGATAGAGCTGGAATTTAATGCATGCATTTTGATTTTGGGGGTCTTTGCAGTGTTATGCTTAGTTCACCAAGCTAAACTGCTTACTTGACTTTTTTTTAAGATTAGAAAATATAGTTTATTTGAAAAGTAAATTAGAGAGAGAGAGAAAGAGGAGATTCACCTCCCCAAGGTAGGGAAGGGGGGCCCAAAGCCAGAAAACATGGCAACAGTCATAACTCAAAGAGTACATAATCACACCAGAGTCTAGTAAGGCAATGGCCTTGCCTGGTTTTTTAAAAATTTATTTATTTATTATTTTTAGACTCAGGGTCTCACACTGTAGCCCAAGTTGGAGTGTAGTGGCACCATCATGGCTTACTGCACCCTTGACCTTCTGGGCTCAGGCGATCCTTCTGCCTCGACCTCCAAAATAGCTGAGACTACAGGCATGTACCACCACACCTGACTAATTTTTTAAATTTTTTGTGGAGATGGGGTCTCAAACTCCTGGGCTCAAGCAGTCCTCTCTTGCTTCGGCCTCACAAAGTGCTTGGATTGCAGGTGTGAGCCACTGTGCCTAGCCTGATATATATTTTTTTAATTTCATGGCATAACGTTTACAAAAACAAATGTTGACCAAAGAAAGGTGAGAAACAGCTTTGAAGAGATAAATATTCCAAAATAGAATACTGCTTTAAGTGTTCCTCATTTTTTATTTTTTATTTTTTTTTGAGTTGGAGTCTCACTCTGTCCCCCAGACTGGAGTGCAGTGACCACTCCCGGGCACTGCAACCTTGACCTGCTGGACTCCGGCCATCCTTCCGCCTCAGCCTTTCAAGTAGCTGGAACTACAGGCGCGTGCTACCACGCCTGGCTAGTTTTTAATTTACTGTAGAGATGAGGTCTCGCAAAGTTGCCCAGGCGGGTCTCAAACCTGCGGGCTCGGGCAAGCCACTCACCTCGGCCTCCCAAAGCACTGGGATTACAGGCTGAACCACTGAGCCTGGCTGTTCCTCATTTTTTGAAAAGGATCATGGGTAATAGCTAGAGAACAAAAATACTTTAGGACAGTGGCATTTGTCATCAATATTTTTTGTTTTCTTTTTTAAAAAGTATTTTTTTTCTTTTAATTTTTTTATTTTAAAGATGAGTACAATTCAGGGTTAGGTATACAAATGTTCATTATGCAGGTACCCTTGTTCATGAGGTGTGCCCCCTGCTTCCCCAGGCAGATTCCCACTACTGCCAATCCTGCTTCCCTACTCCCTTCCCGGCAGTTCCCTGCTACTGCCAATCCTTTTCTTACAGTATTATGATAATTGTTCAAGGTCCGTTTATGAGTGAGAATATGTGATACTCCGTTCTTTGTTTCTCTGAAAGATCACTCAGTATTATATACTCTAAGTCCATCCAGGTTGCTGTGAAGTTCATGATTTTGTTTTTTATGGCTGTGTAATATTCCATTGTGTATATGTACCACATTCTTTTTATCCAGTCCTCTTTTGTTGGATATCACGGTTGGTTTCATGTTCTTGCTACCGTGAACAATGCTGTGATAAACATACATGTGCAGGTATCTTTTTTATAGAATGATTTGTGTTCTTCTGGTATATTCCCAGGAGGGGGATTGCAGGGTCACATGGAAGGTCAATTTTTAGATCTTTTAGGAATCACCACACTGTTTTTCACAGAGGCTGTACTGGTTTACACTCCCACCAACAGTGTAGAAGTGTTCCCTTTTTGCCGCATCCTCTCCAGCATCTGTTGTTTTTTGAATTATTAATGATAGCCATTCTGACTGGAGTTAGGTGGTATCTCAGTGTGGTTTTAATTTACATTTCTTTGATGACTAGTGAGGCTGAGCATTTTTTCATGTATCTGTTGGCTGCTCGTATGTCTTCTCTTGAGAACTGTCTGTTTGTATCTTTTGCCCACTTTGTAATGGGGCTGCTTTTTTTTTTCTTTTTGGCACATTTGAGTTCCCTGTAGAACCTAGATGTTAGACCTTTGTCAGACATACAGTTGGCAGATATTTTTTCCCAGTCTGTGGGCTGTCTCCCTGCTCTATTGATGGTTTCTTGGCTTTGCAGAAGCTTGTCAGTTTCATGGGGTTCCATTTGTCTGTCTTATCTCTTACGGCATGGATTTTAATCAGGAATTGGTTGCCAGTTCCAATTTCCATAAGGATGTCTCTTGCATTTTCTAAGGTTCTTGAGGTTTTACATTTAGGTCTTTGATCCATTTAGAGTTGAGTTTTGTGTATGGTGATATGTAGTTTCAAAAGAGAGTATTTCAGTTATACAAAATATACTATACTCATTGGAGTGATATTATTGTTTGGAGAGGCCAAGTGTAAAAAAATCTCATATTTCCACCAATCTTAAGCATTTAAGTATAACTAAATCTCATAAAAGTTTACACATTTTCATTGTAAATATGAAGCATACATTTCTGATAATCATTATATAATCATGTTTACATTTTTTGTAAATATTATTTTTGACATTTCTTCAGGCCTGTCTACTAGTCATTTTGCTTGGGCATTTCACTCAGTAGCAGAAGAAGAACTGCTGAACATGTTGCCAGCAATGCAGAAAGATGATCCCACTTGGTCTGAACTAAGAGCTATGGGCGTGGGGTGGTGGGTCCGGAACACCCGCATCTTACGTAAATGCATAGAAAAAGTAAGTTTTTTTGGTTTTTGTTTTTTGTTTTTTATGATGTAAAAGTGAATTAATATGTTTTGGTCATTTCTTTAAATAACATTTCATACCTCCTCTGCCATTACTCCCTTTTATTTTTGAATCAGTAAAATGCCTTTGAATAGTCTTTATATTTCATTTATGACATTTAAAATATGTTAATGTAATTTTTAAATGTATATTCTAATTTCTAAGTTTCTAGTTGACACATTTATTTAGTAGTATATATGCGAGTTTTACAAAATAATATATGTATATGTTTAGAAAAATAAAATAGCACAAAAGAACTTGTAATGAAGGGCAATAATTCTTTTACTTTCTCAGTATCCTTTGAGGCTACTGCCGTAAGTTATTTTTGTTATTTTATATTTACACATGTGTATTCATATACATATTTACAAATTTATTAAACATATAAATAGATAATGTATGTTGGTCTTGTATGTAAAGGAAATTACTTGTTCACTTAAAAACCATTCCTGTGAAATTCTGATAAATATTTTCTGATTATAGGTAGCCAAAGCAGCCTTTCATAGAAAAAATGATCCTTTAGATGCTGCCATTTTTTATCTTGCAATGAAAAAGAAAGCTGTGATTTGGGGATTATATAGGTAGGTTTAAAAAAACTGCTTCAAAGTGAAAATTTGTTCATAAGGAGTAGGTACACAAAGTAAGATTTGTTGTTCTTGTTGATGTTGATTCATTTAGAGTCTTAGTTATTTTTGTATTTTAAGGAGCATTTCATAGGAGAAAAGCTCAGATGTTTTCCAGCATAGAAGAAATCTGATGGGATCACTTGAGGTTTTTTTTTCACATTTATCAATCTAGAGACACTTTTTTTTTTTCTTAAAGAACTTATCATTCATTTCTGTAAAACAAAGCTAACTAAAGCAGAAACGTACATTTGGAGTGGGGAAGACGATAAATTGGTGAAGTTTGGAACAGGTGTCTATCCTCTTCCTTATTGAGAACACATGGGCCAGGCTATCCCTCAAAACTGCCTCTCTTCTGTGGGCCCTAACTTCATTACTGAGCTGAGTTGACTTAGAATTTTTCTCTCACTTCTGATGAAACTGGTGAATAGTTCATCATTTGTTTTGGGTTTAGTTCCAGATGATCCACATCAACAGCAGACTTTGGGAGGAGAATCATGGCACCAAATCAGTTTTTTAAGAAACTAGATGTTTTAGGATTGTTTTGAATCAGGACAAATCCTTTTTTAAATTTTCTTTTTGAGTTGGAGTCTCACTCTGTTGCCCAGTCTGGAGTGCAGTGGCACGATCACTGCAGCCTTGACCTGCTGTGCTCAGGTGATCCTTCTGCCTCAGCCTTCCAAGTAGCCGGAACTATAGGCACATGCTACACATGCCCAGCTAATTTTTGATTTATTGTAGAGACGAGGTCTCACCATGTTGCCCAGGCTGGTCTCAAACCTGCGGGCTCAGGCAGTTCTCTCAACTTGGCGTCTCAAAGTGCTGGGATTATAGGCTTGAGCCACCATGCTGGCCAGGGCAAATTCTTTAGATTTTTATCACCTAGGTCATTGTTAGATGGTCAGGCAAGGTTACTGATGAAGTTTAAATGGTGTAGCACAGAAGTTAATATAAATTATAAATTTTGCGTAGACTTGAAAGTAATGTTTCACAGTGCTACTCGGGTAGTTTTCTTTGTAGTTTGGAAAAAAAACTTTCAATAATGTTTTCAGATTTATATGAAAAAATAAATGTTTACCTGGTATTCTTTTTTGCTGGGAAAAGGAGCAGCAGATATATAGTTATTTATGAACTGACACGTTTCTATTGAGTCTTAACTTTTAAGTCCTAAGTTTAGAAGATTGATTCTAATGTAGAAAAATTGTATTTCAAAATTTTCATACCTTTGTTTTCCTTCATAGAGCCCAAAAAGACACAAGGATGACACAGTTTTTTGGACACAATTTTGAGGATGAAAGGTGGCGTAAAGCAGCTTTAAAGAATGCTTTCTCTTTGCTAGGCAAACAAAGATTTGAACATTCTGCAGCGTTTTTTCTTTTAGCTGGTTGCCTCAGGGATGCAATTGAGGTAATTAATGAAACTTAAAACCAACAATAGCATCGTCATCCTTTTAAGCCCTTTAGGGCTTACATTTTTATTTTTTAGTTTCAACTGTAGTGTAAGTAACACAAGGCTATATATCTAAAGTAACTGTTAATACTTAATAGAGACATTTAAAAAATTTGTCTTTTTGCCTGAATGGTATTATATACAGAATTAAGATTACCAGATTGTATTGGTTGCTTGCTAGACATAGTTAATTGATATGACTCTTAAAAACATTCATGAAAAGGTAAAAAAACAATTAAAGGTTTATCTAATCAGTTTAAACACGTTTGAATCCATATATAGCTCTGTCTTATTTGATGAAATAACTTCTAAAATCTTAATTGATTATTTCTCAGTGAAATTTAAAACATGAACATTTCAGATATGAAAGCATTTTTGTCTCAGATTGCCCTTTTGCTCAGAGTTTCATACAAATAATTCAAAACATCTTTTTAAATTTGGGAACACCATAGTCTGCTGGGATGGATAAAGAAGCATTGAAGTTTAAGACTAAACTAAAATAAATAGCTTGAATTGACGCTATTTAGAATTGCTCAGTATTTCCTCATTAGGCTAATTTTTTTTGCAAATTTATATTTAGTACTAGCAGATAGATTTACAAGTATTAACATAAATGTTATCAAGTAGATTTGCTAAAGTAAGCAGTATGTATTTTGTTTCTTATTATCCTTGTTTGCTGATTTTGATATTAATACAGCTTTATGTTTTTCTAGTTACTAGTGAGGCAGTTGAGTTTATACTAAAATGAAAGCTACCCCTCCTTACTTATAAACAATATTTCCTTTTTTTAAAAGGTATGTCTTGAGAAACTGAATGACATCCAGTTGGCCCTTGTAATAGCAAGACTCTATGAGTCTGAATTTGATACATCTGCAACATATAAATCTATTTTACGGAAGAAAGTTTTGGGAATTGATTCACCTATCAGTGAACTCAGTTCATTAAACGTAAATATGCATTATGACCATTTTCTTCGGAGTATGGCATATTGGATTTTGGAAGATTATAGTGGTGCTCTGGAAACATTAATAAAGCAACCTATTAGAGATGGTAAGCTGCACTTTTAAGATGTTAATGATTAAGAGTATTATTGGTACTTTATAGGTATACAGACCACTCCTGGATGCTCAGGCTAATAAAAACAAGTTAAATTAATGGTCTTTATGACCATTAATTTATGGTTTAGTTGGGGACACAGAGTTATGTATACAATTTTTGTTTTATTTTTTGCAGAGAGATAAACCTTTTCAAAACCAAGAACTTTGGATTTTTCTGCTTTTACAAAGTAAATTAAGCATAAATATGTCAACACTTGAATATAAACATTTTGAGGAAATACTAATATAAAGCCAGTTTTAAAATCTTGAGTTGAATTTTTTGTTTGTTAATCAGCTTTATAATTCTTTTTTTTTTTTTTTAATGGGGGCCTCACTCTGTTTCCCAGGCTTAAGTGAATGATGCCATCAAAGCTCTCTGCAGTTTCAACCTCCTGGGGGGAGCTCAAGCTTTCATCGCTCCTTAACCTCCCTCCTCAGTAGCTGGGACTACAGACATGCACCACCATGCCCGGCTAATTTTTGATTTTTTAAAAATTCATTATTATTTTTTATTTTTTGTTGTTTTTGTTGTTGGAGTCTCACTTTGTCACTCAGGCTATAGTGCACTGGCACGCTTATGGCTATCACAACCTCGACCCGCTGGGCTCAGGCAATCCTTCTGCCTCAACCTTCCAAGTAGCTGGAGCTACACATGTGCACCACCACAGCCAGATAATTTTTTTATTTATTGTAGAGACAAGGTCTAGCCAAATTGCCCAGGCTGATCTTGAACTCCTGGGCGTAAGCAAACCTTCTGCCTTGGCCTCCCAAAGTGCTAGGATGATGTGTGTGAGCCTGTAATATATTTTTTTACTATAAGAATTATTTTCTACTATAAGAACTATAAAAATGATTTGATTTGCTTTTCAAATATTATTCCTTAAATGGAATTGAATTGTGCCTGGTAACTGGTACAGTAGGTGTTAGGTCACTTGCAGTACTAATTGGAAAAGGTTATAGTTCATAGTTATATTTTATGTGGCGTCATTTAATCAAGAAGAGTCATGTGCCTTACCTTCTGAACTTATGAGAAAGCCATGTCACTCATTTGTTTAAGTCTCCTAGCCATCTGAACTAAAGATTTTCACAGTAGACTGTGTAATGAAAGGAAAAACAAAATGCCTTTTCTGGCCACTTTTTTATGTTTTCACATGTTATTGTAAAAAATGTATTTTAACCTGGGAGTAACCATGCTCACATACTTTTAGGACCAGTTAAACCTGTATTCTTCTAGAAAATTGCAGAAGATAATAGTAGATAATAGTTGGTCCAGAATGATTGGCGTTTAGGCAGAGAGAAGTAGGTGGGGTTTGGGATGATTTTAAGGTTGACTAGACAGGCTGGAGATTGGATATAAAGTATGAAGGAATTAAGAGTCAAGGATAACTACTGGCTTTTTAACCTGAGCAATATGTAAATAATATGGGAAAGTATTCTTCTAGATCATGAAATCTTTTGGGGTTTTGTTTTGTTTTGAATCAGAGTCTTATTCTTGCTCAGGTTGGAGTGCGGTGGCATGCTCATGGCTACTGCAGCCTCATCCTGCTGGGCTCAGGCAATCCTTCTGCCTCAGCCTTCCAAGTAACTGGAACCGCAGGCACGCGCCACCATGCCCAGCTAATTTTTTTGATTTATTGTAAAGATGAGGTCTTACCAAGTTGCCCAGGCTGGTCTCGAACCCTTGGGCTCAGGCAGTCCTCTCGCCTCCACCTCCCAAAGTACTGGTATTACAAGTGTGAGCCACCACGCTCGGCATGAAGTCTTTTGATAAGTGACCTTTGCACAGAGAACTGCTTGAGATAAGCAAGTTAATCAGTATAGATATGGGTAAAGAGTGGTCTGGGTCAAGGGCACGTTAAATAAAAAGGTCCTGAGGCAAGAGTGTATACATGTAAGTGGAAATGAAATGGAGGCCTTTGGATATAGGAATTTAGATTTTCATTGTGAAATTAGCACGAGAGGTAGAGATGTACAAATTACCAGTATGAAGATGGTATTTAAAGCTGTGGGACTATATGAGTTCAACTCAGGGAATGTAGATAGAAAAGAAGCCAGGAATTGAACCCTATGATACTGTTAGCATTAAAAGTTAGAGGAGATGAGGAGGAGAGATAACTGAGTGTGTAAGTAGATATTTTAAATTACCTTAGATTATTACCTGAGTATATTTGTTTCAATAGGAAAGCAGCAGCATCTCTGTTTTCCTACTGTGTTAGAACATGTTCATTCCTACTGTGTTAGAACATGTTCATTTAGCACCAGAGATCAGTCTGGTCTATTTTTTTGTTTGTTTATTTGTTTGAATTGGGGTCTCTCTCTGATGCCCAGGTTGGAGTACAGTGGCATGATTATGGGTCACTGCAACCTCAACTTCCTGGGCTCAGGTGATCCTTCTGCCTCAGTCTCTCAAGTAACTGGGACTATGGGCACATGCCACCACACTCAGCTAATTTTTGTAGAAACAAGGTCTCATTATGTTGCCCAGGCTGGTTTTGAACTACTGGGCTCAAGCAGTACTCCTGCCTCAGCCTCCCAAAGTGCTGGGATTATAGACATGAGCCACCATACCTGGCCAGTGTGGTCTGTTAATAAAGTTTTGTCAAAAGACCAGGTAGATAAAAGGGTCATAGTAGATAGAGAAAAGGGACTATGATATAAATATGAACACCTAGTTCAGCTCTTGAAGAACTTTTCTTGGCTCACAAAATGAATTTACTTTCAGATCAAGGCATGATGTCAGCCTGTAATCCTGCAGTTTTTAATTTCTACAATTATCTAAGAACACATCCTCTTTTGCTGAGACGTCATCTTGGATCATCTGACACATTTTCCACACACATGAGTCTAACAGGAAAAAGTGGACTGGCAGGAACAATTAATTTAAGTGAAAGAAGATTATTTTTTACTACTGCCAGTGCTCATTTAAAAGCTGGCTGCCCCATGTTGGCTTTGGAAGTATTATCAAAGATGCCCAAAGTCATCAAGATAACAAAACCATTTTGTAGAGCATCTAATCTGGATACTAGTAAAGACTGTTCCCCTTCTTCTCCACTAAAATTGAATGCAAGGGAAGATAAGTCCTCTGCTGTTGATTGGTCACAGTCACTGATGAATGGTTTTGGATCTTCTTCAGAGGGTTCCTCAGAAAAGCAATCAAACTCCACTCTTTCTTTTGACTGGAGCCAACCAAGTGTTGTATTTCAGAATGACTCTTTAGAGTTAAAATGGGACAGTGATAATGATGAAGAAAACGAGGATCTCCCTATTTCAATGAAAGAACTAAAACCGTTACAGAGAAAAATAGATAAATTAGATGACGTGAGTTCTAATTACACAGAATCTTTCAGCACACTAGATGAAAATGATGTCTTAAATCCATCAGAAGATATAATTGCAGTTCAATTAAAATTTAGAGCATGTTTAAAGATTCTCACAGTAGAACTTCGTACTTTATCTACTGGCTATGAAATAGATGGTGGAAAATTGCGTTACCAGCTATACCACTGGCTTGAAAAAGAGGTGATAGCTCTTCAGAGAATTTGTGACTTTTGCACAGATGCTGAAGAACTACAGTCTACATTTGGCAAAAATGAAGTTGAATTTGGATTCAATGAGGATGCTGAAGATTTGCTTCACCAAACAAAAGTGAAACAACTGAGAGAAAATTTTCAGGAAAAAAGACGGTGGCTGTTGAAATATCAGTCACTCCTGAGGATGTTTCTTAGTTACTGCATACTTCATGGATCCCATGGTGGAGGTCTTGCATCTGTGAGAATGGAATTGATTTTGCTTTTACAAGAGTCTCAGCAGGTATGTAACTTATATAATACTCAAAAATAGTATGTCTGAAACAGTTTTTGACGTTGCATTTTTGGGTTTTGAATATTAAGACTATTTTCTTCATTGTAGTTGCTTTAGAGAGGGCTGCCTTTTGTGTGGTCCTTCATATAATGGATTTATAAAGCTGTGTATATAACTGAAGTTTGAGGGCAATTTAATATTAGGTCTTAGCATCTGCTTAATTTGTACTCCACAGTCTTATATGAATGCCTTGTGAGGTTACAAGCTTCTCTTTAATAAAGAGGGTATTGTCTCATTATTTTTAAATAGAATCTTTGGAATGTTGACCTTCTTGATCCCTTCTAATGCTATAAGTAGGTATTATGCTTTTAGGCTTATCAATATTTTTGAATTGTTTCAGAGAGTCCGCTAAATCACTTAAGTAATGGATTTTAACTATAAATAGTTGATTAACCTTTTTTCCTCTTTGTTTTCAAGGAAACTTCAGAACCACTATTTCCTAGTCCTCTGTCAGAGCAAACCTCAGTGCCTCTCCTCTTTGCTTGTACAGCCAGTGCCAAAACAGTTGTTGCTAATCCGTTATTGCACCTTAGTAATCTAACACATGATATTCTACATGCTATAATAAACTTTGATTCACCACCGCATCCTGATATCCAAAGCAATAAAGTAAGTATGCTTTGTTTTTAAACTTTTCATTTACGTTTATATAATGATAAAACTACAAGGTAAGTGATAAACATCATCCAAAAGGCTTTAGACATGAGACTAGACATGGTGATTGTTACATTGCCAAGTTTATATCCATTAGAGAAAGCTTCTGGTTGTTGACCAAGTTTGTCTTGCATTACTGATACTCACAGAGTTCTTGAATTTTAATCAAAATGCTTAGTTATTTAGCTTTTGCCACTTCATTAATGTAAGAGGAGCACATGCAGATATACAAGTGATTCCTTTAGTAATGCATTTAGCCAAAAAGCTAGTTGTTTTTTAAAGATAGAAGCTTAACATTTTGGTGTAAAGGTACTAATATATACATAAAGTTTTTCTTTGCCAGAATTAAACCATTACATATAGTAAGGATAGTGTTGTGAAGTTTTTTGCCCCGTCATTCCTCTATGGTAGGCAGTACTTTATGAATCAGCTACAGCAGAATCACTTGCAGTGCTTGTTAAAAGTTTAGATTCCTAAGTTCACTCCAGCCTTGTTGAATCAGTCTATAAGAGTAAGTCCCAGGAATTAGTATTTTTAGTCTGTCATTTGGTTCTTGTCCACCTCATAGGTTATATCACACATCTGCTTGCTTGATGGAGAACGCTCCTTCCACAATTTTATCCTCTTAAATAACTTTAACTTTTTTTTTTAAGGTCAAAGTTTCACTCTGTCACTCAGGCTAGAATGCAGTGGCACATTCGTGGCTACCACAGCCTTGACCTGGGCTGAAGGTGATCCTTTTGCCTCAGCCTTTCAAGTAGCCCGGCTAATTTTTTTGATTTCTTATAGAGAAAAAACTCTCACCAAGTTTCCCAGGCTTGTCTAGAATCCCTGGGATCCTCTTGCTTCAGCCTCCTAAAGTGCTGAGTTTGCAAGTGTGAGCCACCACGCCTAGGCAACCTTAACACTTGTAATTGAATTTCACTACTTCTTTTCCAGTACTGCTCTGTAGCATAAATACCTGTAGTGCTTATCATACAGTTTGGAACTTAATTTTCTTCATATTGTGCCCATTTTAGCCAAACTGTATTTCGTATTTAAGTATAGCAAAACTGTTGTGTATCAGTTAACTTTGGCTGCTTAAGAATTGCCCTGAAACATTACTGGCTAAAAAGCCATTTATTTATTTATGAGTCAGAATCTCATTCTGTCACCCAGGCTGGAGCCACTGCAGCCTCGACTTCCTGGGCTCAGGTGATTCTTCCACCTCACCCTTCCAAGTAGCCATAACTACAGGCACATGCTATCATGCCTGGATAGTTTTTTGATTTATTGTAGAGGCAAGGTCACCAAGTTGCCCAGGCTAATCTTGAACTCCTGGGTTTAGGCAATTCTCTCACCTCTGCCTCCCAAAGTGCTAGGATTACAGGCATGAGCAACTGTGCCCATCCCTAATTATTTTGCTCATGAGGTTCGTTAGTTATTTTGGTTTGGGCTGACTAGAATGATGTCTGGACTCTGTCTTTTGTCTTTGATCCGCTGGTGCATTGACTGAATTCTAGGATGGCATCATTTATATTTCTGGTGGTTGGCAAAATGTTGGCAGTGCTGACAGGAGAATCTGCGTCATATGTGTCTCATCCTCTAGCAGGCAAGCCTCATGTAGTCATCTGGGTTCTCCAGAGAAAGAGAGTCTTAAGGGTGTGTGTGTGTGTCTGAAAGAGATTTATTATAAATAATTGGTTCATGTGATTTTGGAGGCTTAAAAATCCCAATATTGCAGTTGGCAATCTGGAGACACAAGAAAAGTGATAGTGTAGTTCTAGTCCAAATCTAGGCCTGAGAACCAGGAGAGCCTATGGTATAAGTTCTGGTCTGAAAGTTCACAGGCTAAGACTCAAAATAAGCTGATGTTTTAGTTTGAGTCTGAAGATGGGAAAAGACTGACACACCAGCTCAATACAGGTAGGCAGGAGTTGCTCAGCCTTTTTGTTCTGTTGAGGTCTTCGGATTGACTGCATGATGCCCACCCACATTACAGAGCACTATTTTAATCAGATTAGTGAGTGAAATGTTTATCTCTTCTGAAAACACTTCACAGACACACCCAGAATAATGTTTGACCAAGTGTCTGTGCACCCATTGGCTCTGTCTCACCTAGTTTTTTTCACATGGTGATTGCAGGAGTTAAAGAGCTAAAAGAGGCTGGATGTGGTGGCTCACGCCTGTAATCTCAGCACTTTGGGAGGTGAAGGCTAGAGGATTGCCTGGGCCCAGGAGTTTGAGACCAGCCTGGACAACTTGGTGAGACCTCGTCTCTACAATAAAATAAAAAAATTAGCTGGGCATGGTGGCACGCATCTCTGGTTCCAGCTACTTGGAAAGCTGAGGCAGGATTGCCTGAGCCCAACAGGTCGAGGCTTTGGTGGCCATGAGCGTGCCACTGCATTTCAGCCTGAATGACAGAGTGAGACTCCAACTCAAAAAAAAAAAAAAGCAACAAAAATAGAATTTCCAAGACATTTTGAGGCATAGATTCAGTCAGAACTCACACATCACTTCTGTTGTGACCTCTTGGTCAAAACAAGTCACAAGACCAGCTCAGATTTAATGAGTGGAGTAATACACTCTAACTTTGTATTACAGAAACTGTAGAATGTTGTGACCATTGTTGCAATCTTCCCTGTGTGATCTTTGCCATCTTCAATTACATGATGATATCTTTTATTTTTTTTTTTTATTTTTTATTTTTTTTTTTTATTTTTATTTTTGAGTTGGAGTCTCACTCTGTCGCCCAGACTGGAGTGCAGTGGCTGCTCCCGGCCACCGCAGCCTCGACCTGCTGGGCTCTGGCAATCCTTCTGCCTCAGCCTTCCAAGTAGCTGGAACTACAGGTGCACACTACCACACCCAGCTAATTTTTGATTTATTGTAGAGATGAGGTCTCGCCAAGTTGCCCAGGTGGGTCTCAAACCTGCGGACTCAGGCAATCCACTCACCTCAGCCTCCCCAGGCGAGGGATTACAGGCTGAGCCACCGAGCCTGGTTTATCTTTGATTTTAATTCATACCACATTTTACTGACAACTGAAGGAGAAATTAGCAATTAGATTTGATTTATCATTGCCTATTTTTATCTACATAAAATATCATACTTTATAATCATATCAAGAATCTGGTCTTTTAATATTTTAGTCTAGTCTGTTTTCTTACCAAGCTTAAGTTTCTCCTTCGTCTTCAGTTCTATTATGACTCTTGCCAAATATTTGACTCCATTACCTTTCAATTACTATATTTCATATCTTATATTTTCTCTTTTTTTTTAAGTTTCACGCTCTTCAAAGTGTTCTTAATGGTAACTAGATATGTGGTAACAAACTCTTCAACATATTGACCTGTTTATAGGTAACTGTCAGTTGTCAGTCAGTGCCTGTTCATACTGTTCATATTTTAGTTGAGGAAAGAGCAGGTTGAGAGTTTGCTTTAATACATGGTTCATGCTTTACTGGTTAACTGACATCTGTTCCCCTTTGCTCTTGAAAAAGCAATTAGGTAGCAGATGTGTATTTTATAATTTCTGCTAAAAGCTTCAGTGTTTTTTCTTTAAATTTTCTGTATGGGACATCTCTAGGTAGAAATGAGTGTTACAGAAACAAAAAAGGAAATACTTTGTAAAGACAAAAGTTGAATTTCATCTTTTTCAAACCTCTGATCATACTAGGTCTTTTAAAAAGCTATACTTTAAGGAACTTATACTTAAAGTAATTTTTTTTTTAACAGGTATATGTAATGCATACTTTAGCAGCCTCACTTTCTGCTTGTATTTATCAGTGCCTTTGTGGTAGTCATAACTACAGGTAAGCTTTTTTTTTACAAAAATTAAGAATGCTTGCAGTACCTAATGAGGTTTCCTATTTTGTATGTTATTAGAAGTATATAGAACATTTGATTTTAAATAATACCAAAAGCACATGACTGAGGTGCCATTTTTTTGTTCGTCTTTGAAATTTTAGCTTATGCCTTTGTGGCGAATGAATCTCAAACCCTTGTTCAGTATAACTTATTTAGCAGCCTCTTATTGATCACTGCCTTTTGTCAGACATTGTGATTGCACTGAGAATTTTAACACAAATAATAAGGAGATAATGTCTTTTTCCTCAAAGTCAGTCTAGTTAAGAGTCAAAAACATGGACTATGTAATATGGCATAGTAATTACATGGTAAGTATCATAATATAGTATAGTAAGAGGCTCAGGGAGTAGAGAGGCGGCAAACTGACTTGGAATTGAGAAAAATGTTATAGAAGAATTGACTTTTAGGATACTTCTCTTTGTGGTCTAAGTTTTACTATGATTTATCTAGGCTTTTAAAAAATACTGTTTGGCTCTCACTGTAGTCTTTCTATATCTATACATAGTTCTTTGAAATATTTTATTTCTTCACATATTCTCTCATCTATCTTCTCTTTCCTTTCTAGTTAGACAGATATTAGAACTTGTGGACCCACTTTCTTTTTCTTTTAACTTTTCTATGTTCGTTATTTTTAAAAAATCTTTTTGTTTCATTCCATTAGAAATCCTAACTTCACTTTCCAGACATGTATTCATTCTTCATTTTATTTAGCCAGAGTTTGTATTTTAGAAATTCTATTTTTTATTTTTAATAACTCTTTTTGAGTTTAACAGTTGCTTCTATTTTTTCTTTTTTTTTTTTGAGTTGGAGTCTCACTCTGTCGCCCAGACTGTAGTGCAGTGGCATGCTCCCGGCCACTGCAGCCTCAACCTGCTGGGCTCCAGTCATCCTTCCGCTTCAGCCTTCCAAGTAGCTGGACCTACAGGCATGCGCTACCACGCCCGGCTAGTTTTTGATTTATTGTAGAGACGAGGTCTCGAACCCGCAGGCTCAGGCAGTCCATTTGCCTCAGCCTCCCAAGGTGCTGGGATTACCGGCTGAGCCACCGAGCCTGGCCAGTTGCTTTATTTTTATAATTTATATTCATTTCTTGATTTTTTTTTAAAAACTTCTTTGAATGTAAAGTTCTTTCTTTAATTTTCTACTGAGTTGGCTTTCTCAGATGGAGATCTTTTGATGAGCTTCTTATTTCTTCTTCTCCTTTTATTTTTTTTTTAAGGATACAGAATCTCGCTCTGTCACAAAGACTGGAGTGCAGTGATGTGATCATTACTCACTGCAACATCAAACTCTTGGGCTCAGGCAGTCCTCCCACCTCAACTTGTCAAGTAGTTAGAACTTGAGGCGCATGCCACTTTGTCCAGCTAATTCTCCCTCCCAACCCCCCCCAAAATGGTATCTTATTATGTTGCCCAGGCTGGTCTTGAATTCCTGGCCTCAAGCAATTCTTCTACCTTGACTTCCCAAAGCACTGGGATAATGCATGAGGCACTATGCCTGCCCAGCTTGTTATTTCTTACATGGTGTCAACCTTCCTTGGTGTTGAATTTTAGTTGTCTGTTCATCTTATGTATTTGAATTTCCTGGGTAGCCTCACTTATCACTCTGGTTATATATTCCCAAGGCAGCTTCAGCTTGATTTATTTGATTCTGGTCCTTTAAGAGTTTACTTTCTTATACTAAGTGTGGCTTTATTTTCCTCAACTTATTTTGACCTTCTCTATCATTTCCAATAGCTTACTATAGCATTGAGGGAGATTTTTTTTTGGTTACTCTGCCATCTTGAAAATGAAAAGTAAAGCAAGAGAAACTGTTTACAAGTGCATCAAAATGACCAATGAGATTTACCAATCAGAACAGACGTAAAACAATAATTTGTTCTGTTTAAATAGTATTTTTATTAATGTATGACATAGGAGTTTCTGAAGGATTTAACATAATTCTTTATACCATTTTCTGTTAGAACTATTTCATAGTTAAGATCAAACTGCAAATTATTTTGTTCATTCTTGTGTTAATCAACTTGAAGTGTCTTGTACTTGGGGAAGCTTATCCTGAATTCCCAAATTGTGTGAAATACTCCTCTTTTTTTTTTGGAGTTGGAGTCTCACTCTGTCGCCCAGACTAGAGTGCAGTGGCCGCTCCCGGCCACCGCAGCCTCGACCTGCTGGGCTCAGGCGATCCTTCTGCCTCAGCCTTCCAAGTAGCCGGAATTACAGGCATGTGCTACCACGCCCGGCTGATTTTTTGATTTATTGTAGAGATGAGGTCTCGCTGCCCAGTCAGGTCTCGAACCTGCGGGCTCAGGCGGGTCCACTCACCTCAGCCTCCCAAAGGCGAATACTCCTCTTTTTTGCACTCATAGTATCATGTGCATAGGTTTCATCTTTAAGAACAATATGATAAAGTTATTTGTGTTTTATTCCCCCACCAGAGTAAATTTCAAGAGAACAGAAATGATGTTTTTCATTATCTGCCTGATCCCTGCTGCAGTGCCTGATACAGGGTCAGCTAGCCATTAAACATAAAAGTATACCTAAACTGACTTTATTTCAACCAGGTAGCTTTGTTTTAAAGCTCAATATGCTTGCTACTTCTGGTCCATAGTGATTTAGTTTTGTCATCTGTACTCACTCTGTCTTTCACTTAAAACTTGTCAAATATGTTTTAATTTAGAAAATGTGTATACTGGCCAATACAGTGGCTCATACCTGTAATCCCAGCACTTTGGAAGACCAAGGTGGAAGGATTGCTTAAGCCCAGGAGTTCAAGATCAGCCTCGGCAACATAGTGAGACCCTGTCTTTACAAAAAAAAAAAAAAAAATTAAAAACTTAACTGGGCATGATGGCTTGCCCTTGTAGTCCCAAACCACTTGGGAGGCTGAGGTGAGAGGAGCTCCTAAGCCTAGGTGTTCAAGGCTGCAGTGAGCTATTATTGAACCATTGTACTCCATCCAGCCTGGGTGATAGAGAGCAAGACACTCACAAAAAAAAAAAAAAAAAAAAA